CCACACAAAACATACAGTATAAAGACTCGAGCCCAATTGTAGGAGCTCACTCTAGCATGAGGTCTCTTTTCAGTGGCTGGGTTGTGCCAGAAGTATTATCCCCTGACCCCCTCTCCTCTTTTTCAAAGCCTTGTAATCAGTGTGCTGCTCTTTGTACCGGGATATCGCAAGACACCCCGGCAAAAACATAGCAGCATTTCTGATGAACAGCGGTGGCTCCGAGTTCGACTAATCAGGTCTTGCTTGTGTCGCTCTCCTCTTGTGTGCGAGCCCTTTTGAAGCAAATAAAGTCGACACACTTTGGCACATTCTTCTTGACAGCCACAAAGCAGCTGCTGGATCAATACACAAAGTTAGCTGAGAAGGAAAAAAAACACAACCAATAAAATCCTGCTGGAAACACTTAGTGAAAAACATGTACGGCCAGACTTGTTCAGAGCTGAGGCTTTTAGTGAATATTTCCATGTCGCTGACCAAAAGACTTAATGTAAATAAATTTAACCATTTCAAACAAAATTATTGTGGTTGTGGATATAAAGGTGGAAACATTTGAATGTTTTTAAGTGTTTAGTTCTCCATTGCAAATAGAGACCTCATATTTGTCTAAATAATTCCAATCAAATTAGCATTCTCTGCATTGTGCTGGGATATTATTGTTTCTCACCGAGTATTAGCGTTTCATTTGTATTTTTCTCATAAATCTGAAATGCTTTTTTATTGAAGCTGAGAGTATTGTGTAGTATCAGGAGGGATGCAGAAAGGGGAAATCTACATAATATAAATCCATATACGGCCCAGTTATCTGTCTCTGTTTTGCTGTTGCAACCCTCTCTGATTGATTCCTTTATCTGAGGGAAGCAGAAGACATGCTCTGTTTGCTCGTGCAGTGGCCGGCAGGAAAACAGAGAAAGACACTTATTAAAAAGGTCATCTCACAGAGGGTTAAAATAGCAGGGCACAGATCTCTCTGGGGGAAGCAGCCATGCCCCCTCCTCTAGTGAAGGACACAAGAAAAGGTGTTGCTCAAGGGAGCTGGACCCGTAATGAAAGAATAGCCACTAGGCTGACAAACTGTGTGCACCGCTAATTCAAATACCATCAGAGAAACAGAAATGAAGTAGTGACAGGTTGAGAGTGAGTGAAAACGCAATATTTTGAAATAAAGTCTGAGTGAGAGGCGTTATTTTTATTTACAGTGTGGGCCATCTTGTAAACATGGGGAAATGAGACTGGGACGAAAGTATTTCTTTGGTGAGTGGGTTCAGAGGCAGGTTGCCCTGCAATTTCATTTCTGGTAAATGAACATGTGTCGTGCCAAGGAAGAACAAAAGTCGAACTTCAAATAGTGTTTTTCTTACTTTGTGAAAGATCTTAACAATACGAGGGAGTACAGACAATCCAGAGACAATGAGATAAAGTGTTTTTGAAATGTTTTTGGAAAGGCCTGTGGAATAGCTATGCCTCCAGCCTCCTGTCTCCTCCCCAGGGCAGCCTAAAGCCCTGTTGGCAGGATGCTGATCCCCACACGGAAACCTGATCCGCAGCCATCCTGGAGCCGGAGGGATGGGGGGGGGGGGGGTTGTCGAAGAAAAGCACTCCCCCCACAAAGCCCCTTCACTTCTGCCCCAGAGTTAAAGGGGTACTCTGGGGGAACATTCTTCAAGCCCTGCCCCAGCCAGCCTCCACTCTCAACTCTCTAGAGGAGCATTCTTCCAGCCCTGCCCTAGCCTTCACTGGAATCTCCTGGGGAGCATTCCTAAAGCCCTGCCCCAACCCAAGACGGGCTCCCTGGGGATGCATTCCTGCAGCACTTTCTCTCTGTCTCTCTCCCTCCTTCTCCCTTGCTCCCTTTCTCAGGCTCTCGCCTTCCTCTGCAGTCCAGCATTAGTGCGATCAATAGCACCGATCGCATCGGGGACACTAGGCAATCCATACCTATGCGCTCCCTTAGCGCACTGCAGTGGTCACAGCTTAAGTGCATGGAAAGGTGTTTTGCCTCTGCTAGACGGGGAGACAATGGCCAGCATTGATCGAGGTGGCATGTAACATCTTTCTCTTCCTTTCTGTCCATTGGGCGTGGTCGATGAGCAGTTCAGATATGTTTACACTTTATTTAGTTTGTTTTGTCTCACTGCTGTCAATGATCCTTCTTTATCGTAGCATAAGAGAGAAGTTTAATGAAAACACGTGATGTAGTACGGTGATGTCTGGTTTCTAGAGTTGCACTATGGGCTTATGCTCTATTAGCTGAGAGAAAAAGAGACGATTGCCTTCAGCGAGCAAATCAAATCTCCAATATGTGGATTGGTTCCAGTCAAGCTTTGCAATTTGTTTACCCAAAATAAAACATTTGAAATTGTAAAAAAAATGTGAATTTAGCAGGTGCTGGTGGTTGATTAGAAAATGGTTCTAATAAAGCATCCATCTGTGAGAAGAGACTTGATGTAAGGCTGATTAATCGGTCATGGATGTCTACATAATGCCACATAGGAAATCTCCTTCGATATTCTGGAGAATACACAAACATGAGCAAACACCCCCACACACGCCCACACACATTCAAAGTACTTAGTATGCCATCTAGAAGTTTCTTTTTTCCCACTGTGTTTGAATGCTAATAGAGTGTTTCTGCACAATCACAATACCCTAATGGCAATTAGATTCTTTTGTTTAGTTTCCACAGGGGCTCTTATCCAAACTGTGTTTTTTTTCCATCATTGAGCAATTAAGAGTTATTTGTCCATTAGATTGACATTTATAAAAGATGGGCTTTGTTGTAGAAAAAAGTGGCAAAGTCAGTCATGACCATACTTAAATGTTGCACATAAAAGACCCTTTTTTTTCTAACTGAGTTACAAAAAAAACTAGATTATTAATACGGTAATAAACTATGTTCTAAAGGTAGCATCTATCTGGGTTGTAACTTTAGCAACTAGTTGGCAAGCAGCATTCACAAGGGAGGCTCGAAAATGTCGTGAAATGTTAGCGATGGTTCTCAATTTCCTCGCTCGAGTGGAAAAGACTGAAAGCCTCATCATTTTTTTTTTAAATTTTCATTTACCCTTTATTTATACAGGAAGTCTCATTGAGTCACGAGAACTCATTTTCAAGAGAGACCTGTTTGGGAGCAGATGATGTGGATTAAGGGCCTTGCTCAAGGGCCGAGGGTGGGGCAAATGAGGGTGGAGGCAGGTGTCGGTATTTCACCGTTTCCACCCGCATTTTGATGTTGTCAATCCAGGGAATTGAACCTGCGACTTTCCGATCACAGGCCCATCTTCTCAAGCCTCTGCTTCACCATCCCCCCAATTAAATGATGAATATTATAACAATTTGTGCAACATTGTTTTTTCTCAAAATAGTTGAGTTGTAGCTGCCTCAAACCCTTCTAGAGTGCTAGAGCTATATTTTGACACCACGGGAACTCTCCTGTGACAAAAAAACAAACAAACATCTGTTGCTACAGCCCTGGATATCCAGGTCCAAAACCACATCGGTAACAAACAATAACTGTTAAAAACTGATGCTAATCTGCCTATCTTAATTTTAAGAGTATACTTCAGTACATTAAATGGTAAATGTGGAAGCAGTTGGTGGGTGGGTACATAGCGGGCCAAGCCGGGTACAGTGTGGACGAAAATGGGCAATGAAATTATGCGCATGGTATAGAATACCTTTTTGCAAGCTGTGCATCCAAAAAAAGGGCATGATTCTCAAAAGTTGACCGCTCAAAACACAGACACACAACTCGTTTGTGACAAACACAATTCTGCAATGAAAAATGCGTCTATTGTCTCACAATACTGAGTCACCAGCTTGTCTCCAAATGTCGAAGCCTTAAACTATCTGTAAATCTTTGAGAGTCACAAAAAAGGGGGTTACAAGGTCATGTTATCAATTTTATTATCCCTAAGTCAGTGGTGCATTTGTTAAATAAAAATAAATAAATACATTTCACACTTTTTGTCCACTGTCACATTTTTGTGACACCAGAGAACTACTTCCATGTAAACAAGCAAAGTTTCCTCATGCAAAGTCACACATATGCGTGTGTTTCTGTTGGAATAAACATCAATGGTAGCTTGACTGGACGTATAAACACACAAACTCAAGACAAGAGACTTAAAATTAATGGAAAATCTTCGTAAAACTCATGGAATGTCTAACCCATAATTTGTGGTTGGGTTGTGAAATGTGAAATCGAACTGTACGTGTAAACAAAACAAAAAAATAAGCTAGCCTCTTCTTGAACATATTTTAAACGTTCTTTTGACGATCAAAATGAGCTTTTGTGTTTTATTACATTAAATCATCAGCTCATGTTCTGAACACAGACAAAGCGGGAAAAGAAGCGTCAGGTGGCATTTCTCCAAATGGACTCATCAGGACGTGTAAAGGAGGACAGCAAGTCCAGGAGAAGCACATGGAAACCTTCAGTTCACATCATTAGTTCTGTCTGCCACCTTGTCAGGGTATTTATAGTCCTATTCATCTATCAACAGGTCAATGACACAGGCTGCCAATGGCATCCTTTTCTTTCAGTCCCACAAGGTATCACTACTGCAATGTGCTAGCACTGGGACAGGCTGAGGGACTTTCCTGGAGACACAATCTGTTTTGAGCTTGTGGTCTGGTTGCTGTTGGACCAAGTCTACGCATGTTACCAACACATGTTGTGACATTACTTTACTATGAAATGTTACAATGAGGCAGACACAAGTATGGAAACGAAACTATAAATGCACATGCTATAAGGGCTATTTGTAAGTTATGCCATACAATGCATGAGGTATATAAATAAGACACTACATGTGTGAGGCCTGTGCAGTTGGATATCTACCAAACACAGTGGTAGTCTAGTGTTGCGCTCCCCTTGGTGTAGTGTACTAACACACAAAGTGTGGCATATTCTCTGTTGAAGGCGCAGAGCGAGAGTGGGAGTGGGAGAAGAGCTGAGTGGCAGAGTAGAAAGGAGGCTCGGTGGGCTGAACGTTGTTTACCTGTCAGCTGGCATTGATTAATCTTGTGTTCGGTGAGATCGCTCAGCGACTCGAACACCTGCCGGCAGCTGTCGCAGCTGTGCAGCGCAGGCTCCTCGTCCTCCTCCTCTCCCTCTTCTCCTTCCTCTGGAGAGAGCAGCCTCTTCCTCAGATGCCCGGCCTCACCATCCTCCGCCACCCTCTCGAGGGCGCACTCTGGATCTGTGGAGCCACAGGAAATGACAGCGCCACATAGTCAGAGGGGTGACCCACGCTGTGAGGTACTACAGCTTCCTCTGGGTGACAATAAAATGGATTTCTAGACTCTGAATTTAATAAAAACAATAATAAAAGCTGTAATAAAAATGCAGGTTCAGTTTGGACCTCGGTAACTCAACCACTCGTGCCATAACAGAAGTGTTGGATAGGTGTACAGGCAGAGAAGGTGGCAGAATGCTCACAAACACACGTCTGACACACACACCTTTGTTATTAGAAATGGTTTTCCGTTGTGTTTGCCCTGCTTCACCCAAGCAAAACTTCAGTATATGAAACTAGACTGATGGGAATATGTGTAGTTAATAAATCTGGGATTGCAGTTTTGGCTGGACCAAAGAAATATGAAATTCCACCAGCGATCTGAATTGCATCAATCAGCATCTATCAAAGGAGACAGGCCTTGCCAGAAGTGTGGATGTGCAGAGTGCAGCCCAGTAAAACACAAAAACTGAGATTGTTATGCGTTACACTTTCGTCACAACACACTTCCTTAAATTATTCAGCCTCGCTTGCAGGCAGCCGCGGGTCGTGCACATCAATATTCTTCAATCCATCTGCAGTTTTGTCTCTTGTTGGCTTTGTGCCGCAGCAATGCCAGGGGTGAGCCTCTGACTACCCCAAGCCAGGACTTGTAACCATCTTTTCATATTACCAATCTAATCTGAGCTTCTTATATTGTTAATATATCCATACTGAGAATAAAATCTTGCATGGTTCAATCATAGTGTAATTTTATTTAAAGACATGGAAAAATGAAGGCAGCTGAGAAAGGTATCTTATAGGCAGCTTGGCCTGCAGCCCTCTTTCTCCCCTCCCTGCTGTGAAGACTGCTCTTAACAATAAGACTGATTAATAGGCCGTACTTACAATCAAACAATCTTGTCAACCAGGTTATGCTTTGCGGGCAGAGAAGAGCCTTTAACAGCAGCCATTTTAAGCCCCACTGATACAAGTGTTCCTCAGCTTGTCTGGTAACTCTGGGGGGAAACATTAGGGAAAAACCTGCATTTTTTCTTCTTTTTTTTCGTCTAGCAAACCGTTAACAGCACCTGAGGGCAGAGTGTGTGGCACTCATGTGTGCAGGTGTGGGTGTACGGATATTGGGTGCAGCAGCCATTTTAAGGCCTTCTTCTGAGGGGGTTCTCGAATATTGTGAAATTCCTTAAGGAAATGCATTTCAGAACTCATCAAGGCCACCCAGGATCCCCCCCCCCCCCCCCCACACACACACACACACTTGCACCAAGTATTGATGTAACATCACACCCTCCATTGTCCTTCCCTCTTGGCGACTGAGGCTCTCGGAACATGCCCTCTAAAAATATCAGCACCGTGGTCCCAGGTGGGACCATGCAGAACAGAACAGAAGGTGTTTCAAGAAAATGAAAATCCCAACCCAATCCTCACAGATGCAGGCCTTCTTGCTCCTAAGGAAACACTTCTGACTGAGGCCAAAAGCCACACAATATAGGCTCATGATTCCTCCGCACACACTGACGCCAAATTCATAATATGAACTGAAAGTGTACAATTCATTTTAATTTTTTTTGCAGAGGAGCCTATAAAGAAGGTTAAAAGTTAGATTTTTGTTCTAACCCTCATGAATCATTCATTTTGTTACTATTCCAGCTTAATTCGAATTAAGAGAAATGTTTAATGGCTTCATTTAAGGATTTTATGTTCTATCTGCAATAAAGACACAACTCTGGATGCAAAAAGAAGATGGGCTTTATTATTTATTTTATATCAAGCTGATTGTTTAGTATAATGTCAAAGTTACTATAAAAAAAATAAAAGAAAGGCTTTAAAAGGACTGGGTTAATCATATTAGATTCAAAGATGCGTGAGTTTGAGACCCCGCCCTTTGCTTGTTTTCTCTAGTTTTCGGTGACAAGTAGCTGTGACTCACGGTGAAGCTGGGCCAGTGTGCTAGACTGAGCAGAGTGCACTGCTGTGAAGAGGCGATGGAAGTTCAAACTAAGGATCGGGCGGTGGCTTGGCTAGGAAACTGAGAGCTGATGGTGTGTATGCGTGCTGAGGGAAGGGCGAGGGTGGGGGGTTATGGGGCAAGGTCACGTTCAACCCAGGGATTAAAGAGCCGCATCAATACTGAGGTTCCTGTGCCTCTGGGCCTCATACAGTAATCCATCAGATCAGGACATCCTCTTCTACCAGTCTCTACAGGCTGGACAGCCGATCAATACCAGTATGCTTGGAAAGGCTGCCTGTCACATGTGGATTTCTGGGGGAAGATGTGCAACATATTGGGAATTTTTAATCTTAATTTTGATCATCAGCTCTGCCACAAAAGAGACAAGAGAGAGGTCACACTAATCTCTCCATATTCTGATAAAAACCAACCTTAAAAAGCTGTGACTGAGAAATTATTCACGTTAGTGGAGTGTTGGGGCAACAGCGGGATAACGAAGATTTTACCAAAAGATTTCTATAGATGAATTTCCAATCTTATTGAACTGAAAGTGCATTAATAGCAGAACCATAAAATGTGGGGATCTGAACAATTATTGGCAGCTCTAAAAGCACATAATATTGTGTTGAATCCAAGTCCATCAATCATACACACACTTGTGGTGCCTGGTGACATTTATCATGCCACAACTTTCATCTGGAGACTTTAGGTGTCTCATGGACCCCCCACCCTTATATTATTGAATATTTCTGCTCTTAAATATTTATAACCCTTTTAATTGATATTCTCCTTTCTGCTCCATTAGCCCCACCAGGGATCTGTGGGGTCTAACAGGGAAGCCCCATGCTCATTCCCCCATTGCCTGGCCCACACACTGAGACAGGTGGAGACACTGACCATAGGGAGAGAGGGAGGCCATGAACCCACCTGAAATTAAGGTACGGTAAATAACAGAAAGCAAAAGGATGAGACAAAGCTGGAAAGGCTGAACTCAAAGAAGCTAACGCTCAGCTAATCTTAAGATAGTCTGGTAAATTTTAAGTGACATTCTGTCAAACAGTTATGAAAAGTTTGAACATTATCGATTGTGACATTAGTCTAAGAGCACAGATTATGAAGAAAAGGGAAGACATTTTTGTCCAGGCTAGGCTAATGGACAGCTAAACAGGGCTTATAAACCATCTCTTTCTTGTAAACAACATACCGGTGTGAAAAAGTCAGCACGATGACAGTTAGTAGAGCTGTTGCCTCTCAGCAAGAAGGTTGCTGGATCGAATCCCAGCCATTGGCCTTTCTGGGTAGCGTTTGCATGTTCTCTCTGTGCATGTGTGGGTTTTCTCTGGGTATTCTGGTTTCCTCCCAAGGTGTGACAGAGTGAATGGTTGTTTGTCTTGTTTGTCTCTATGTGTCCCTGCGATGGACTTGCGACCTGTCCAAGGTGTCCCCCACCTCTTGCACAGTGACTGCTGGATATAGGCACTAGTGACCCCCACAACCCGAGGAAGAAGCGAATAAAAGATAATGGTTGGATGGATGGATGGTGTGAAAAAACAAAAACAAATGCTACATTAGCTAACAAAAAACTCCTACACTTTTGAATGACACCATTTTTTGCACAATTTCATCAGTGTTTTCTCAACCGAACAACATCCTTTTTGTGTACTGAACCAGTATTACATTAAAAGCCAATGGTATAAACTTATCAGCATTTCTGAGCAGCCAGTCCAAAAGTTTTCCAACTCGAGGCAGGCTGATACATTTGCAGCTTCATCGCCATAACAAATCTATGATTAGCACATACATTAGTGTAGTAACATGAAAATTGGTTGAGAAAACCACAACAGAAGAAACAAATGATGTCATGCATAAGCATAAAGTTTTATATAGAGGGAGTTTTCCTTTCCACTGTCGCCTTTGTGCTTACTCAGGATGGAAGATGGCAGCAAAGTGAAAAGTCAATGCAATCTGCTGGCTTCCTTAGATAGATAACTTTTATCAACTGGTTTGTTTCTGTTCAGTGCCCTGAGACAACTTTTGTTGTGAACGGTTGGTCTATAAATAGACTGAATTGAACTGAAGTGAATTAGCAAATATACCATTCTTTCACACTGATATGCTGTTTTAGTTAAAGAGTTGTTTTATGACCTGTCTATCCCTTTAAGCTAGAAGAACCCAACAACAACAAAAAGAGGCTCAGAAAATTCTTGCATGCACTAAAGCCATTCTTATTTAATTCAGCCTCGACATACAAAGCACAAACATCGAAATCACTGAGGGTTATGTTCTTACATGCCTGTAGACAACACCATGTCGGGCTCAATCAGAATAAACCCTGATGGAGGTTTTTTTTTTTTTTTTTGCGTGCAATGAAAGCACTTGGTGTCAAAACTATCATTACCGGCGCACCAATCTTTTTCCTTGTTTCCCTCTGTCGTTTTCAAGAGATCCTGATCTTACGATACCTTCCCTCTTCTCTGGCAACCCACCCTGCAACCACCCACCCCCAAGTTCAAATTAAGAATTTATTTTAACCAGCGAGCAGCATCAGTCGACACGTGTCGGAGGGCCTGATCAAAGGTGAGCGCACGTCTTTATCAGAGTGAGGGAGGCTGTCAGAAATAGGAGGACATTAAGATTGAATAACCTTCACAGGCTTGCCGGCACCTCATTATTTAAAAATCTAAAACTTTTTGCTGAGCACCCAACATATGTAGGTCACACTACATCCTAATGCCACATGTGCTTCTGTGTGCATCCTCACTGTGCAGATGTGAGATTTAGGGGGCACTTCACTTGAATTGTCACACCCACTGATCATTAAAGAACATCATGATCTGACGTCGAGGCTGTAAGCTTGATACTAGCTGGATCGTTAACGATCATCAAGAATTTACTTGTAAGGAGTGGAGGTGGGAGTGTGTGTGTGTGTGTGTGTTTGTGTTAGGGCTTCTTGGGGTCGGTGCGTGCAGTTTATCTGCCTCCAGTCCTCCAGATTCCTATTAAGTACTAATTATGGTTTAATAATTTGATGCATCTGAAATGTGAAAGCAGATAAGCAGAGGTGTTTGTCAAAAGCCAGTTCTCTACAAGCTCTCAGCACTTTACAAAAGCTCAGGTTTCAAGCGTCTTGTTACTTATTACAAATACGAAAGGGGGTTAAAAAAAAAAGAAGAATGCTGTATATTTATGAAAAATTTATGATGCACGCTGAGTTAAGAAAAAAGCAGTACAGGTGCCAAACAATTACAGGAGGAGTAAGAACAAACAACGGAGACGACCCAGAGAGCGCTGCATGAAGGCAGCAGCGCATATAATCACAGGTATACAGGCGGCATCATCCACCATTAAAATCTCAATGCCGAAAAAAAGACATGAGCGCACATAAAAAAAAAAGAGTGGAAATCAAAGCAACTGAATGAGAAACAACATTTGAACATAGCAAATGCTCTTTCTTTCTGTCTTACCAGCTCCCTCACTGGGAGTGATAATATTGAACAGAGCGCCTTGCCATGCCATTAGTGCGGGGAAACATCAAAGGAAATGAATAATAGAGAGTATGATTTTCTGAAGTGGTGGAGTGAAAGAGTCCCTTCCTCTTCCCGTTGTAGTGAGCCCTGCAGTACATTGATCTGCGGGCAGCTTCAACGTAACCAGAGCCAGAGTTTCAGACGCCGCATCACGGCGCTACACTAGTCTGCTCATCACCACAGCACCGAGCCAACACTTTGGATCTTTATAACTCTCCCGTTTGCCTCAGTCCACTCCACTTTGACAGCGCTGAAGCTCTTTTACCAAAATAGGAAAAAAAAAACAAACAAAAAAAACATCCTCGATCTGACAGTGCCAAAACTAACAAAAAAGGTACATTTTATCCATACAGTATACATTTAAAGAAGAAAAACAAGCACTGGGCATGAGGTTATAATTACATACAGGCAGTACAAAGCCAAGCTGCAGATCTTAAGCCGCTCTACTCTGGGTAAAAAGCATATGGCCTCATTAAATCTCAGATATCCAGCTGTTTTCACCACTCTATACAATACATAAAACTGTCTGTCTGTTATTGAGCCTCTTTTGTTAGCATTTCTTCTTTGCTTCTGCTACAGAACAAACATGAATGAGAAACAGGATGCAGGACGCTTGCAGGAACACAGAAGACCACAACTGGGGGTCCACTTATAAGGCAGATCTTGTTACCCTTTCTGATTAAGCTCTTGGCTTGTCAGAAGTCTAAAAGCTATTGTGCACCTGTCCGTCAGTGTGGCAGATGGAAGGAAAGTCAGGTAAAGCTTTCTGGCGCTTTTCAATTTGACAATGTTTGGGCAGCAGCTTAGTCGTAAGGTTGAACGACTGTTGTTAAGGTTAGCTGTGTGGAAACATTATAAAAGTTTCAGCTGACAAACTGGCGGGAGCTAAATTGGACGGCAACTTAAAAGTTTGCCACTCCAAACAGCTCATTTTCCTCATTGACCATTCGTCAAGCTGCATCCTGTGAGGAGGTTAAAAAATAAATCAGTCAGATGAAGTCAAATGAGGAAAGTGAGAAATTAATTTGTGCGCCCTCCTGATTTCTCCACAGGCAGACATCGATCATGTGGCGGCTGTCTCCCCTCACTCTGGAGGCTGGAGGTGGTGGAGGGATGGAGAGAGGGGAGATTTGTGTGTCTGAGGGGGTTGTTGTAATCAGGCACGTTCATTAGCTCTGCTTTGGCTTTGGATGACAGGAGGTCTTGGAGGTACATCCAGTCCTTGAGGGTTAGAGGGGCAAAAGAGGCAGGTTCTTTTTTTTCCTCAAAAACACCTACTAATACATATATGCACAATGACATAACTGCAAGTAGGTGGCACTCTGCTTTTTCTTAGGAAAAGAAACAAAAATAGCGAGCGGAAATTGCACTTTCCAAGAAGGCATTGAAGACTTGCTTCGTTTTAATTACGGCAACCTTCAAAATAATCTAATCTATATTTAAATACCTTCCTACACATGAAACCACGTGTTAGCAGGGATTGCAGACATCGTGGATGCCAAGTGTATCTGTAATACACGGAGCTTCAGTGTTTTGTATAGGAGTGCTCTGAAAGCTATGGGTAAATGCCGGACTAATGTGGCAGCCTAGGTGTGCTCATAGTCCCCAGCCTGCTGGGCAAAACCATCCATATCGGGTTTAAAATAACCACGCCTGAGACTTAACCTTTACCAGAGACAAATGAAATGAAAATATACAGTGTGGTGCATCAGGAGCAGGCTTCATTCATAGGGGGCTTTCTGCTAGCCTGACCTGAATTACCGCTCTGTTCCTGGAGGGCCACTGTGAATGGCACGTGTGGAGACAGGACACATTCATCTGCGTAGCTCTATTTTACATCATACAGAGAGTTGGGAAACAAAGAGACTGGAAAAAAATGTATAACAGCAAGAACACACAGAAACACAAGGACGGCTATGGGCACACCTGCACACACTCAGACCCAACACACACACGGTGAAGAAGCTACACTGATTTGATTTGCCTCTGCTGTTATGGAAACACACAGGCAAGGAGTTTACAGCACAAAAACCTCAAACACAGGAAACCCATAATTTTTCATCATTCTTTGTCCCACCAATGATTTTACAGACAGAAACACACACACAGAGAGACACATGATCCACTTTCCAGCCGAAAATGATGAAATATGAAATGGAGCATTACCGCTTGGAATGGCAGTCTGCCCAGGACTATGCTGGTCCTCTGTCACATTGTCTTCCACTGCCAGAAAAAGAGAGAAAGGAGTGGGAGGAAAAAGAAGGAAAGAAACAGTTAAGAGTGGGAAAAACAAGTTGGGATTTTTCTTGTTTTTCATTAGTTACTTTAGAAATGTTCTATATGGAAACTCAAAGCCATTTCAGATGCTCTCGACAGCTCAACCTGAGGTTTGAGAATCCACACAAGCCTTTCATATGTATGAGGTTTGGCAAAAAGGCAAACAGCCACCCACGTAAATAACATATTGGACTGGGTAATGACGTGATGAATTATGAACGTCTCCCCTGGAACATCCTCCCAACATCAACAGTGACCAAGTAAAATAAATAAATAAGAAAAAAAAAGCACCTTGATGACTGCATTAGTGGGACACGTTTCACTTTGATAAATTAGATGAAAAGGAAAATTTGTACATTCCAGCATAGATAAAGCTCAGACCTTCCTCTCCGAACAAACAAAATGTATGATCTATATTCACTCTGTGTGTTATAACAGGAAAAAAAGCAGCTGTAAAGTGCTTTTACTCTCCAACAGGATGGGTGACAACGCGGTGACGTCTTGATCGGCACTCAGATCTGCTCGTTAGGTGCATGGCCACTAAACCCCCTTTTGACTTTTTGACAACTGAACTAGTCTCGAAAAACATGACTTGGATTTAGTAAAAGGTAGAAGCTTTTTACATTGGAGCCTTTTTTTGGGGGGGGGGGGGGGGACTGGTGAGACTTCCTTGTATGTCAAGTACAAGAAATGAAATGGATTTTAACAGCGGGAAGAGAACAAAAGAGTCTCCCACCTGTTCCATGTAAAATGAGGGTCTCACTGAGGACTTCATACGCCTCTGCGTTCCACCCCTGCAGTTGAAATGCATTCTCCATTATGTCTTTTCTTTCTAGCCTTTCATTTTCCTGGGCATAGAGGAAGGTGGTGGTGGTGGGGGGGAGTCTGACAGGACCTCCCAGTAGGGGAGTGTGGCAGTGACTGCCAAAGCAGAAATTGGCGCACTTTTAAAATTGCACAAAATATCCTGTACTTTGCATAATTAAGATGGGATCCTATGGTGGCAGAAGCCTTTTCCTCGGGGGAGCGTAAAGTCAGTGTCAAGCGGGGGTGACAAACCTCAGTGGAAAATGAAGAGGAACGAGTCAAGCTCTTTCTTACGAAGACGTGAAAACCACAGAAGGTTTTTGCCGTCAACCAAAATGGGCTTTTAGAGGATGGCATCCGAGAGGTTTTTCAAAATAGCTTGTGTAGATACAAAATTGATTGATTGAAAATGTTGCCCATGCAGAGAAACAACTCCAATTCTGGGTGGAAAACACGCTAAACAAGAGGTCATAGGTCAGAAAATGAATTATCTTAATCAATAAAAGCCAATGAAACAAACATGGACATCTTAGAGGGAGTATAATCGTCAGCCAACGAAAAAAACCAACAACTTGTCCTGTTAAAGGAGGCCTCGGTGACTGACGCCCTGAGAGTTTAATGAGTTTCTGTAGCACCGTTGAGCGCCTTGCATCTAGGATCATTTAAATGGGCTACAGATAGGGGGTCCTAATAAATCCCCCATGGTTCTATCAGAGATTGGTGATGCGAGCTGGAGTTTTTGTTTTGATTACCGTCACTGTTGGTGAGATGAGGGAGTTCAGGCAGAAAATTCTATTTTACAATGCCATAAGAACTTAAACATTACGGCACTTTGTAATAATTTGTCACCACTGTGAACTTATTAAAAGTTTTGCCATTTAAAGTAAACAACTTCCATCACAGCACAAATTCTCGTCTCATTTGTACCTGTCTGCTTGATAATTAATAGCCAGCTAGGAGCAATCACAGCACACAAGCTGCCAAGTAAGGGCGAACTCCTATGATGGTGTTTTTACTAGCTGGACGTTTGATTAACAGTCAGAACTAGACAAATATAACTAGCTGAGGATTTTTAATTAATGTGTTCTTAAGCCTGCGATTAGCTTGTAATGACTTCGGCTGAATAAAACTTAGCTCACACAGCTGTAAACACATCACTGCTATCAGTTAATTAATGTTTGACAAGGTGCAGTGTATCATTCAGGTGACGACAAACTGTAATCACGCCGCTACGTTTTGTTGATACATTACTGAGCGCACATGGGATCGTTTCAGAGCAGCACCCTTGATTTTTAAAATGTGAAGCAAAATGGAAAAAAAAAAAAGGGGGGGGGGGGGGTAATCCCACAACAAGTGGCGCAGCATTAAAGGCCACTAATTAACAAGCTGACCGCACACAAAAACAAACAGACAGTGACTGTCGTCGTGTTGAAAGTAACAACTCCCAAGACAGTTAGATTTAGTTGTCTGGGGTAAAGTGTTAGGAAAACCAAAGTTGAAATAAAAAAAAAAAAAAAAAAATATATATATATATAGAAAATAAATACAAAAGTACTGCGACGACAGACTGCGATAGCTGCATAAAATTCCAAATTTAAAACGCAAGCCTTTTTCTAATTAAATTAAAAATATCTGCTGTGTGGGGGGAAATAAAAAGACAAAACGTGAGTATGTAAACACCACCGTGTGAGAACCGTACACGTTTTGCTACACTTTTACTCAAGGATTGTATTGGGGTGGGGGGTGTTTTGCAGCCACTGAAAGCCTTGAGTGTGTTCCTGAATATGCGTGACTCATCTGCTTGGTTACAGCCAGCGTGGACGATACAGTGCCGAACACAATGGCTGTGTAATCCACCCTGACTGACCGGGAAGGAGACGCTCGCCACGGGGAGTACAACTCAATTTAGCTCGGGTCAAGAGGTCAACCCTCCTCAATTAGGCTCGGAAAAGGCCGGGGGGTGGGGGGCAGGAGGACGCACACTGCACATGAATAACTTTCTTAATGAGCATTATTTGAACTGGTGATTAGTGTCATAAATAATTTGCAACGGAGGAGCATTGTGTTGCGCAGTATTAGTAATCTCTCACGCTCTGCCAAAGTAAGAAATTAAAAAAAAAACTACACCTATACCGAAATGTCATCAATCAGTAATCTCATTATGCAGATTTTTGCTAATTCAGCTTCCAGATAATACGCGTACAGATGTGATTTCCTTTGCAGCAGTGGGTGGAAATCAGACGGTGCCTCTGTCTCCATGTGGCAGACAATCCATGACAACAAGAGAGACACATGCCACAGAATAAGGACAGATATCGGCCAGCTCCCGCGACACCCGGTCCAACACGCTCAGCTGCATGTCAAGTGCACTGACAGCCGTGCTAATGGGATTTTTCCATAGCTCCGTCATAATTTCCTCAATGATAATTCTTAACCATATTTTTGTGTCACATTAGAAAAGCGTTAATGGGTGTTATGCCACAGATCATTAATTGTGAACAGAATGGAATTGAATGCAGATTCCTATAAGCTAAAGATGACACAACTGCTAATAAGCATTGTAGCGGATGAGAAATATAAAGTAAAATACTGTTTGTTTCGCTATTATAATTGCACTTTCACAGTTAGAATTACACGACCAAGCTGGATTTAGAAGGAAAAAGAGTTGTTTAAGACAAAAAATATTAATGTATTAGCAGTTTTTGCAATTAGACATAATGTTTTACAGGTTATGAAGGGAATAGTCATGCACTTAAAAGCTTTTTTTTTTTTTTTTTTACCTAAAAAGTCTTCAAACTATGAAAAGTTTTCTCTTTTTTTCTTGAAAGATTTAATTTAAAAGAGTTTTGATCAGCGTTTACTAACATAACAATTAAAAAAAATAACCAAGCTGTTTATGTCTGAGCAAACACTTTAATCATTATTCTTATGCTTAGCATTGTTAAAGAAATCGTTTGTGTATGGTTTATATTAAAACGTTGAAACAATTTGTGTGCAGTATAACTGAGCAGCACCACAGAGTTCACTCGTGTAGAAGGCAAATTCCCCGCTTCTCGAGCACATCAAATATTTAAGGTGTACATGACACAACCCTGATTTTAGGACAATCGCTGCACTTAAAGTAAACGGTGCAGAAAATTGAATTATATATGTAAATGACAGACCTGGAAACTTCTGCCTCAGCCAATGAACACATCAGTGTTGGGAGTGTCATTTGTGCTCCGGGATAAAAACATCAACGCAGCCTCACATGTTCAGGAAGCCAGTGTGGATAGGACAAGCAACGTGGCTGTCGTCACGCAGGATTTGGAGCGAGATCCTCCATCCTCACTGCTCGCCACGGACGGAGGCGACGTGCTGACCCAAAGCCACCACGCATCAAAACAAAATTACAATGTGCCTACAGTTGAGAAATGTAGAAGGCTCGGGATTGAGTAAATGTCAGTGGCTGGGGGTGAAGTGTTTGCATATAAGCGAATGATGTATGGTCTCGTCCTGTGCCATTTATTCCCTCAAGCAATAACGTAGCCGGATCTGTCTCTCAGACTTAATTGAAACGGGACTTGTAATGTTGCCCTTTTCCTCGATGGGACCAAAAACATAACCTCTGACTCCCACTAGCAGCCAATACTGAGAAAGTAGGTGTGTGTTAGAGGGGCGTACACAAGGGACCAAAAAAAAAAAAAGAGCGCCAACTGTCACAGCATTATTTCTTCATCTCTTCTACATGCATGCCACGTCCTTACTATCCATACAAGAGCCTCAAACGCAGCGCACGATGCCTGTTTCCTCTGCATCTTTCATTAGCACCTGTGTTTATCCTCTCCTCTGCAGAACAACGTGTTCTTTGACTGACCACTGCCTCAACCTGGACTGTGAAAGCCACACAGACTCCCATATAAACAGAAACAGCAAAATTAGAGATGCCACTTTTTAGGCAGCTTCAGAAATAATCCACGAATGCAATAACTCTTCCCGTGTGCTGCTAAAAGTGAGAAAGAACGCAACTATCAAAAAAAAAAAAAAAAACAGACAAGTAAAGTTATTATGTACATCTGTGCGAGTGCATCTCAGTCCCTGAGGAAAGAGACAGACAAAGAACAATAAATAACATCTGCCTGGCCTTGCTTGGGTCTGATCCAAAACAGGGGGAAATATCTCTGACGTTTCTGCGTTTCTGCTCCACCGAAGCCCAAATGAAGTCATAAAAACACGAGAGTCTTAAGTGACGCTTTTTTTTTTTCTTTCCCAGTTTAGATTTTGGGTGACAGCAGCAAAACAAACAATGTCATCACTCTGACTTCATTTGCATACTGATTTGCTCACTCCGCATTCCTGTCTGTCACACACATAGACGTACACAAATCTTAACAGATGTTCCTCCTGAACACACACATTCACACACTTGTAGCATGCTGGCGGGAGACGATTATATTTAAGTGATATGTCGTTTTGAAAATAATAATAATAATAATAATAATAACAATAAAGTCACGCTGCCTTTAAAAAACAGCCAGTGACAATCTGGTCTGATGACTTAGAAAATCTTTGTGTGGAGCTGTGAATAGAAAGTCGCACATCTGGAAACAGAATGACACAGTCTGAAGATGTGCATGCATTCATGTTTCCACTCTCTCCTGGGTATTGATTTAAAATGGTGGCTGCATGAATGTGCCACCGCGGACCATGTAATCTTCCTTTGAGATGAAGACTTCCGAGCAAGAAAAAGAAAAGGAGGAGAAAATAGAGGAGAGGGGAAAAGAGGTCCACATGCAGACCACAAGCTGAGAAAGTGAAATTGTGGACAATTATTTGCTGAGCAAAATACAATGGCTGCCAGATGAACTGGAGATCAAACTCCAAAACTCAGCAGCCCACCCCCAACCCCACCCCCCTGCACCCCCTGCACTAAAATGCTACTCAGAAAAGTCTTGTGTGTGTGTGTATGTGTGTGTGCAAATTGCTCTGTCTACTCAGTCGATGGATCAGATTACTTCCTATGCAACTGTTTAAAGGGAAAAATAAATGGGGGGGGGGGGGGGGGGGGGGTGTTAAAAAGTAACATGAAAACACCTTCTTAACAGAAACTGATGGGTACTGTGGAGCTTTCTTAAACAGGGTAACATCTGCTTTACAGGTTAACTCAACTGATAAATCCAGATGTTTATAACTTTTAGCAGCTGATTTTCTTCTAATAATCATAAATATTTTCTTATTTCGTCTATAACACATCCAAACCCCCCACCACCACCACCACCACCACACAGACACACACAAAATGTTTCCACCTAGTTTCTCAGACATGGGGGGGTGGGGGGTGTCACGTGACTCCCTGCGCCCCATTCCGTCAGACGGCTCAAGTTCCGAGCAGCAGCGTCTTTAACACATCCAGATGTTTTGCGAGCGCGCGCTCCGCTGTTGCCCCGCTTCCCATCAGTATAATGATTATTTTTTTCACCCCCCGCCACACACCCTGCCTTTGCACCTCCACTGTCACAATATAATCACAACATAAGCCCCCACCCCGACTGAAAGCCGCTTTCATGCGCAACACAGGAGGAAGAAACATCCAAAATGCGTAAAAGCGGAAAAAAACAGGAAGAGTTAGAGGCTGTAAATCATGCGCCCTCACACCATCACACTCGATCTTCTTTAAAAAAAAATAAGAATATGTATTTTTGGGGGGAATAAAAGCACAAATGTTTGTTGAGAGCCAGGCTTCTCACTTACCTTTCAGGGATCTTGGTTTAGCTTGCTTGCGGCGCGACATCCTATCAGAAAAAAACAGCTGAAGTTGCTCAGTTTCTGCCTGATGATTTGTCAATTTGTTTTTTGTTTTTTCTTTCCTAAAATTATCTGACCCAAATCGCTGCTGGCCTTTTAATAACCATTACCGAAACTGAAAAAAATATATATACAGTCATGAAAATAAAAATGAAAATAATGACGGATGCCAATAAAGCCGCGCGCGGTCCGGACACCCCGACTTTGTTGTTATTATTCTTTTCTTATCTGCGTGTTCTTCCAAATTCCAATTAGCCCGATCGGTTGATGGAATACCGGGAAAAGTGTGAGAATATCCCGCCACGCGCGTCCATTCTCGGGGAAAACACTCACGCGTGGACGCACGATGCTCGTTTGGAGATAAAAGCGGAATATTAGTTTGTCGCTTCTCATCTCAAACGCATCCGTGTGAGGAAAGACATCAGCAAAACGCTTCCTGTGAGAGTACAAAAAAAAAAAAAAAGAAAAGCCAACAAACCCCCTCTATTAAAAAAAAAAGCAAAAAGAAGAAAATAATAATAAAGACACTTTCACTTCATATCCAACCTAACAGCGTGAAAACTAACGCAGACTCTTCCTTTTTCCCACCGCAGTCAACTAATCATGAATTAGGTTCGGAATCTGGTCTGAGTCTACGTCTAAATTGCTCTTAAAAAGAGGATGAAGAAGCAGAGAGAAGATGGAAGCTCCCTCCTCATCACAAACCTGCAAGGTCTTGGACTGCGCTGTCGCTCCGGTAGTCCACATAATAATGGAAAATGGAAGCAAGGCCCCCAAAGCCATCAGGATGGCTCCAGAGGGGGCCCCTACCCCGCAGGGACTCGCTCTGTACGTAATCACTGAGGAAATCATTGTCAGCCTGCCTGCACTCACACACAGACAGAGAGGCATGATTAAAATCCCGGGGATCGTGGTAAGATGCGGATATCTGGATCTGCCGGCTCCTCGGATCCGGAGTGGAACTCTAAACCCGGAGCCGGGCTCGCTCACCCTGGCGTCTCCTCCGCCTCAGCTCGCCGTCGGCCACTCTCCGTCTACGGCAGCCGGACTGGTCCCCCTTCTGGTGGAAAGGCTTCAGCAGAGAGACATTTTTCTGTCACAGACATGGATGGGAGAAGTGATGGCGTGGAAATATGCTCAGATGTTAGGGTCACTTCAATGTTTTTATTGGGGTGGTTTGGTTCATTTGAAAAGAAACTAAATCTGTTCTGGATCATGTTTTAGTGCTTTATTATTTTTAATATGTCTGTTGCAAGAGCAAAACTAACTTTTTTTTTCTGATAGGTTTTTTTTTTTTTTTCTTTTCAGTTTTGAATTTGAGTTTTGACTTTGAAACTTTGATGAACTGCAACTTTGCTAAGAGTGCGATCACTTAGCGATAAATGTTCTTTGACGTTTGCTCTTTAAACAGATCATGGTGAACTGTTCTGTTTGTTTTATGTTGAAGTTATTAAAAATTTAGCCCTTTTTTAAGTCTTTCATTCTATGTTAGGCTTTTTCAAGTTTGATATTTCAGGGTTTGGGGAGAAGTTTTTCTAAAAGCCTTCTCACGTTGGGTCCATATATAATCTGAACAAACAAACAAACATACATTGTTCAATTTGATTTCAAAAAATGGCTAATTAGGAAATAAATAAATAAAATGGGTGAATATGACGCTTCATATTGCTGGCAGCTCAGAGTGGAGTTTAAAATTTCGAAGTTTTTCTAAAAATTATAATTTTCGTTAATATTTAGGTTGTAAATTATGTCTGCTTTCTAAAACTGAGACGTTTGGGAGGTTTAGGTTTAGGTTTTAAAAGTTTGTATAAGTGTAGTTAATTTAGTTTTGTGAACATCTTCATTTTGTATTTCTTTCTTTTCACTTCTGAAAAACACTCACCTGCCTGTGGACGCCCCCCTCCCACCATGTGAAAATGAAATCCAGAGAGGAGTCCTGCAGAGGGCTTCTCTGCTCTTTTACCCTCTGCAGGCTGAAGTTAGCCTCTGCCAGAGGCCCCATTAAAAAAAAAAAAAAAATCCCAGGCATGCAACAGCTCTTCCCACTTTCTGTCTTTCTGTTTGGAGCGATGAAGCCAGATGTAAAAGGAACAAAGTGAGGTTTAGTCTGCAGACCAATCGGGAAGGAAAGAAACGGTCAAAAGGGCAACTCTATAGACACATGAAGGAAAATTAGCAGCCACCTTTGATAGCCTTTACTTTGGACAAATCTCATTTTGTGACAAGAAAATTTGCTATAAAAGCTAAAGTTAATGATGTGAATATGTATTAACCCTGCTCTTATTCTATAGGGTGCTCCTGTCCTCCTATTTGGAGCTCATAATGAGTTTATATACCGGTAAAGACTTGCAAGCTAATCAGCAAGCATGCAGAAATGTAAATGCAGTGGAAAATTTAGAGCTACAGTCGAGGCGAAATCATTAAAAAAAATCATTTTATAGTGTGAACGCTTATGAAGCATTCACACTATTGTGATCCATTTTTCTTGCGTTTTACAGCATCTTTCTCGTTCCACAGTTTTTGTGCTATTTCAACAAATCATATCAAAACGTGCAGCTCGTTCAGGACAATCCCGCTATGACGTTTGGTGCAACTTTAGCTTTTTCAAATATTTAGCCTTTTCTGCCATTTTTTCCTCATGCTCATTTTACATCCTTCAGATCTTTAGATCTGTTCACAACCTTTTACTGCTCCTTTCACATTTTGGTCTAGTTCAGCTTCTTTCAGCTTCCTTGTGCAAATTTGAACCTTTTTACAGCTACTTTCAGCTATTTTTTTCAGCTGTTTTGTGCTCCTTTCAGCTTCTTTCTGCTAACTAAAACATTTTTTGTGCTTTTTCTAACTTCTTTATGCTAATTTCAGCTTATTTTGCTCTGTTCAGCTTATTTCTGCAAGTTTCAGCATATTCTGTGTTTTCAGCTGTTTTATGCTATTTTTTTTAGCTTTTTCAGCTAATTTCACTTTTTTTTTGCACTCCTTCTACTTTTTTCAGTCTAACTGAGCAAAACTGTACTCTCTCCACTTCCTTTGGTGGTTTAAGTTTCTTTCTTCTTTTTACAGAGTGGTGGCGCAGAGTTTAGAGAAGGTGGGCCTGTGATCGGAGGATCACCGGTTCAACTCCCAGTATCGACAACATTAAAATGTGGGTGGAAAAGGTGAAACATCCACACCTGTCTCAACCCTCATTTGCCCCACTCTGGGCCCTTGAGCAAGGCCCTTAACCCCCACCATCTGCTCCCCCGGGCACCATATATGGCTGTGGTAGCGCGGTGGTCTGTGGTTGCGTCAGGAAGAGCATCCGGTGTAAAAACAATTGGCAAGTCTTTGTGCAACTTAGTTCGCTGTGGCAACCCCTGAAAATGGAAGCAGCTGAAAGAAGAAATAAAAAACGTTCTGCCTTTCAGCTGTTTTTTTTTGCTAATTTCATCTTACTTCATATAATTTCCCCTTTTTCGTGCCAATTTCTGCTTCTTTCAGCTTCATTGGGCCAACATGCATTCTTTCTGCCTTCTTGTGCTAATTTAAGCTTCTTCTACCTTTTCAGTTTTTAGCAGTTTTTAGCTAATTTCAACTGTTTTCTGATAAATTCATGTTTTTCATGGTATTTTTTTCTACTTTTAAACTAATTAACTTTTTCATGGTAATTTATTTAAGCTTATTATGCTCCTTTCTTCACTTTTCGACTAGTTTCAGCTTTATTGAACGTTTCAGCTATGATTTAGCTGTTTTATGTTCATTTTAGCTTATTCAGCTAATTCCACCTTTTTGGAGCTCATTTCAGCCATGTCCTTCTGGTAGTTTAAGCTTCTGTCCGCTTTAGCTACTTTTTGCTCATTTCAGCTTTTTTTATTTTTTATTTCCCAAGTTTTGTGCAATTTTCTACTTATTTAAACCCAATTCAGCAAATACTTGTTCTTTCTGCTTTCTTCTGTTAATTTAGGCTTGTTCTTCCATTTCAACTACTCAGCATGTTTTTTTTTAGTTAATTTCTGATGTTTTTCAGCTAATTCTTCAGCAATAAGCATTCACACTGCATTTTCTCAGGAAATGCAATTTCTAAAAGAGATTTTGTTGTTGAAATCCCCTGATCAGTGATATCCATGAAATTTGTAAATTTATGACCTACTTATGATGTCAAGGTTTTACATTCTCAGTTTGCAATTCCATCTGCACCTTAATTTTATTTTTTACCTTGCTTAAAAAATAAAAAAATCCCCTACACGCTGCCATGAAAATGTTTGCAAAAGATCAATAAACGCAAGTTTGACACAGATTGACACGGCACGCTTTGGTGAGCTCGGCGCCCTCACAAGCTACAGTAAAGGTGGTAAACACAAACATGTAAAACATCTTTTGGTCGGTGCTTGGATTCTGTCAGGAGGTCTCAGCTGCCTTAAAAACTTCAATGTTAACAATTGCTCCGAAGTTCCCGCTCGGTGTCTCAGTGCTCTGTCAGACAGATCTCCCAAAGTTTTGGCACCTTACACCCCCCCCCCCCCACTCCATATCACTTGAATCCTCTCAAACACAAACAAACAGCGCTCGACAGTCCTCCAGGGCTCGCTGCTACTTTCATTAGTGACAAAGCGAGGCCTGAGCTCTCGCTGTCGAGTCTCTAAGTAAAAATGCACTCTTCTTTAGAAGTTTTTCTTCTTCTTCTTCAAGTAGTTCCAAACCTCATGTGAGGAATGTTGCTCATGATGCTCTAAAACTGCCTGACATGACTCTTTTTCCTCAGGGATAACCTTATAAATATGGGGGTTGGGGGGGGGGGGGAATCAAATATGCATTTTGGAGAGCAAGTAGGCACAATAAAAATCAACAAAAATGTTTTCTTTTGTCTCAGGTCTCACCTCTGCTGGGTAAGTACAAAGAATCATGCAGAGATAATGCAAAAAACATATTTGACTCAAAAACAAATTCCTGTCAGCATGAGTTTTGTATGTTTCTGCAGACATCTAGTGATTTGGCCATTGACTGATTCTACTGAAACAGCTACGCTTGTTTAAGTTTTAATGATCAGAAATCTGGTCATTGTGTTTAGCCCTACCGCCGTCTCTGATCCTGTAAATCTTGACTCTCTTCAGCCTTATCTTAAGCAGTCTGTTACAAATCTCAGGATGGTTTTGGACTCGGACTTTAAGTTCAATAAACAGATTAACACTGTTCTACAAAAAAGCTTCTTCCAGTTAAGGCAGATAGCAACCTTGAAAAATTAGTCCGTGCATTCGTTACAACCTGGCTGGACTAGTGTAACTCGCTTTATGTTGGGGTCAGTCAGGTGTCTCTTTCACGTCTCCAGCTCGTCCAAAATGCTGCAGCTTGGCGCTTAACAGGAACTCGTAGGTTTGAGCATATTTCACCAGTTTTGTCTTCCCTTCACTGGCTCCCTGGACGTATCAGAATTGATTCGAAAATTCTCCTGTTGACATTTAAGTGCTTTAACGGCCTTTCACCCTCATACCTCTCTGAGCTACTTGAACCGTATCATCATCATCACTTTTATTGTCCCCTTAGGGAATTTTTTCTTGCAGGGCAAATATGTTCCTTCTCAGGCGCTGAGATCATGTGACCTGCTGCTTTTGGTTGTACCAAAAACCAGGTTGAAGCTCAGAGAGCGAGACCTTACAGTCATTGGCCCTAAACTCTGGAACAATCCTCCCCTCAACGTTAGACAGGCCACTTCAGTCCCTGCTTTTAAAAACACCTGTTTTTACTGACCTTCAACACAATGTGATCTGATTTATTATCCCATTGTTTCTCATCGTGCTTGTTTTAACGTTTTCGTTTTTTTGATGCTTTTAATTATATCTTCTTATCTTTTACTTGATGCTGTGATTTTGT